CTACTTGTGATTCTGGCATTCTTGCAAGAGGGAGTGAGAGCACGCCCTTCTTCTCCACCATTTTGGTTCCTGCCTCTCTAAGCTCTTGTATTTCCTGGTCTAAGGGATAACTTCATAAGCATCTGCCTCTATAGATACACTAAACTGAGCTAGTCTTCCTTCCACATCTCACATCTATTCTTCCTCAAGTGTTCCTTCTTGGTAAATGATTCCTATCCCACCAGTTGTTTAAATCAGTCTTTCCTATAATTTTACCATGATTTTTCTTACTACTTCTCACATTCAACATCTTATCAGTGAACATAATCCATTGGTTCTACTTTCCCATAATCTCTGCGTATGTCTCATCTATCATACAAGTCCACATCACCATCATTTCTCACCAGTCTTCTAAGTAATCTTGCTGCCTTCATTCTTGCGTCAGTATATATTTTTTTTTCCTACAGCAGCCAGTGATCTTCTTAAAATAGAAACCTGGTAATGTCATTACTAGGTTTAAAATACTTCATTGGTTTCCCTTTTAGCCATTAGGACAATAAACTCCTGAACAATAAACTTCCTTCTTATGCTGGCCTCTGCTTAACTTTGTCATCCTCTCTGACCAGCTCTCTCTCCTGTTGCACAACATTCTCTGTTGTTTCTGTGACCTTGCACCTGTGTTTCTTCTACCTGGGAAACTCTTATTCTTCAGGTCTGGAATTACATGTCATATCTTCTGAGAAAAACTTTCCCTGATTCCTTCAAAGCAAGATCAGTTGTCCCTTCTGTTTCTCACTGCATTTGTTCCAAAGTCATTGTTGCTTGTTATGTGCAATTTGATGATTGCTCTGTTTAACTGTTGGTATTCCCTCACAGATAGTAAGCACCATGTAGGCAGAAAAAATTTCATCACAACATCCCCTAATCTTCCATAATTCAGGGCATAGAATAAATGATTAGGAGATATTTGATAAATGAAAATATAAATGTAAGTGATTACATGAAGAATAGAGATTGCTCAATAGAGCAACATTCTGTAGATTATTGGATTGAGAGCAAATAGAGAGAGGCCTTATATATATATAATGGAAGGGAAATAATTCTTCCACAGAAAGGAAGAAAAGAACAATTGGGGGGGGTGTGAAGGAAGCAAAAGCAGGGAGTTCTTACTGAATGGCCTTGGTCTCAGCAGTATAACAAATTAGAAAGTCCATCTTTGGTGGGTAGATTGAGAGATGGCACGTTAGTTGTTCTGAAGACAATGAGAATGATTTTAAACAGTAGCTGATAAGAAGTCTAAGGTGAGCCACTAAAAGTAAATAAAATAATTACTTAGCAACACTAGAATTCTTGTTTAGGATAAATAACTTGAATTTATAGCAAATCCATTTACTACAATTATATGGTTTTCTTCATCTTGGCTTAGGTATGGGGGCAAAGGAAAAAAAAGTTCTGGGATTTCAAAGGCAGGTAAGTGGAGGTTTAGGAGGCCAAGAGGTTCTAGGGTGATAGGGAAGACAATTAGAATGACTGGTTACAATGTTCATGTGATAAAGAGGGGAATTCACCAGAGTGGGGGGTAATAGACTGAGAGAATAAGAGGGGCAAGGAAGGGAGAGGCAAACTTTGAAGCATAAGTAGAAAATGAACAGTGAGCAGAGATTTTGGCCAAAAAAATTTTCTTTCGAAAGTTGAAATATTAGAAGAATGGCTTCTTTTAAATTTTTGGAAGAGATCAACTAAAGACCTAATTTATTTTGAAATTAGAGTGAATGTTTTTTCAAGTATAAGATATAACCTAAATTTCTTGAAGACAATTAACATTGTTTTTCTTTGATAGTCTCTTACTATTTTGATACATTTGGCTTTTGTTTTCTATGCCTAATGGTATTTTTTGTCTGTATCTGAAGCTATGTCAAACTGTTAATTCACTTACCAAATCCTCTGTGCCTGTAATATCAGATACTAAAGGAGAGACTAGAATTGAAGACCCTTTAAACAGTTAATGTACGTGATAACTTGTTTGAATTATTTCCTACTAGAGTCCACATTTGTAAGATGATAATTATCTTCACATATTTTAGAGATGGAAGCATGATGCTTGATAACTCCTTTTTTCATGCCCAAATACTAACTTAAGAGAATATCTATAAGTATAAAATATTGTTTGCTTTGTTGTCATTTGTGTGTTTCTAACATCACTTTTGCTAGATTGTAGCTTTCTGAAAACAAGGGATATATATTATTCATTTTGTTTTCTACATAGTGCCTTGCATGTATTTGTGATCAAATAAAAGGTAGTTGGATTTAATTACTTGAAATCCTTTAAGTTATTCAAGTGTTTATATGAACAACTTCCTTAATATGGGAGGTAGTATTAAACTGACTTCTCCATTTTTTCATCATTAAAGCAGAAGAAAGTATGATTTTTCACTTTAATTCTGCAGCCGGATTATAATGAGATCTTATAATGAGAACTTAACATGTGATTGAGGCTTCCTTTTAGCATCATAACAACATAGTATGTTTGTTAATATTTTACAAAGTTGTTTCACATGTACTATTTAAGTTTAAAATACTTGTTTGTATGTGAACTGTTTATGACACAAGGTGAATTGAACTTAACATGAAATAAATCCAATTTGAAAATTAGGCCACTGAGATCTGAGAGGTAAGAGTCTTGCTAAAATGTCACAAAAGTTGGAAGTGATTGAACTGAGCTCTCTCACGTGTAGGTCTGTGTTATACATCTGCATGCACATGCATGCACACATACATGCACACATACATGCACATGCTGAATTTCTGAAGCTAGAAATCTGACTTCATCAGTGGGGTGGTAATTATTGGGTTTGTAACAATTCGTACTATTGTCACATTAATCCACTCACCATTCTTCAGGAGACAAAAAACATGTATACAGATATGTTTATGAATATGATTAAGTAGAAATTTATGAAGAAAAACCACCTTTGCAACATTTATTAAAGTTGAAGTAATATATTAAAAATTCTAGTCCAGATTCCAAATTTTGAGGTTTTATTCTCCTTCCCTTATTCCACTGGCACACTGAACTTTAAATATGAATAGGTAATATTTCATATGTTTCGCATTACTTACAGGGTCTGTATAATTTGCCTGAAAAAGATAGTGGAGTATAGCCCTGTGAAATATACTAAGTACATGGTCCCAGAGCAAATGCTAAAGGAAAGTTACAAGTGTAGTACACATGACAACATGATTATTCACAGGTGAAAAGCTTAGGACTAAATAAGATGGATAAAGCTGGTTTCAATATTCTGATCCCTTTCCTGGTATCTTAAGTATGGTGCTGACCTAGGTGTGTATATTTCATTGTTAACTTGATAGCATAATACACCATGGGAGCAAAAGTAGGTTATTGTGAGAACTTAAATACCTGCAAGATCCTAAGTGCTTTCAGTGAAACAAACTCAGCTTCTTAGTATGTTAACATTGTTAAAGCTGTGAAGCAATTACATTTTGTTAAATAGTTTATATGAGCCCACAGCCATATCAAGCCAGGTACTTATAGAAGTATGTTTTGAAGTGGGACTCTAGACATCACAGATACACCTTCTGCATAATCTAGGCAGTCTTGTTTTTTCCTTTTCTCTTTCCTTGTCTTCTTGCACAGATATTCATTGAATGCCCAGTGCTTTAAGCTCTAGGATCATAGCGTCAAACAAAACACGCCAAGTCCCTGTTCTCCTCGAGCTGATATTCATTGGGATGGAGAGGGAGACAGACAATAAGCAAATGAAGATTAAAGAGAGACAAAGAAACAGGGAGATGTAGCATAGCAGATGTTTCATAATGTTAGGAAGAAAAATAATGCATGTGAGTAGGAGTAAGACTTTCAGCACTTTAAATTAGGGTAGTCAACAAAGATGTCTTTAATAACATAATATTTTGAACAAAGACCTGAGTAAAAATAAGAATCCTGGGCTCCCCTGGTGGCGCAGTGGTTGGGAGTCTACCTGCCGATGCAGGGGACACGGGTTCATGCCCCGGTCTGGGAAGATCCCACATGCCGCGGAGCGGCTAGGCCCGTGAGCCATGGCCGCTGAGCCTGCGCGTCCGGAGCCTGTGCTCCGCAATGGAAGAGGCCACAACAGTGAGAGGCCCGCGTACTGCAATAAAAATTAAGAAAAATAAGAATCCTGTCTTTAGAATATATGAGGGCAGAGAGTTACACAGTGAGGAAAAATCTGAGGCGGTGCTGAGAGTGCTTGACCTGTTTGAGAACCAGGAAGGGGTTTGGTATGTCTGGCTAAGAGTAAGTTAGGGAAGGGAAGGGTAGGAAGAAGAAAAGTCATGTGCGGTAGCAGGGACCAGATGGTAAATGACTTCTGGTCACTGGAAGGAGTTTGCATTTTATTGTGTGTGATTTGAAAAGATATAGGAGGGTTTAGATATGTCTGAAGTGACATATCAGAGGTATACACTGGTGTGTGGAGACTCAGAGAACTCAAGGGTAACTCCACGGTTTGGGGCTTGAGTACCTCGTAAATGACAATGCCATTTAATGAGATGGGGTACAACTTGAGAAAATTTCTTTTGTTTTATATGAATCTCATCTCTCCCCTCCCACCTAGTTTTTACTCAAAAGTGGAATAGACCAATTGGTAGTTTGATTTAAATTATTTTATGCTTGAAAGAAAGAATAACAATAGTGATGACAATAAGTAATATTTGATAGCCCTTACACTTTGCAAAATGTTTTAATATCCAGTGATGCATCTGCACTATATGGTCACATGGAGGATTTCTGCACCTACTCCTAAATTTACGGAAAAAAATAATTTTTGAGACATAAGGTGATGTGTAACATACTTTAAAATACATAAAGAATGGTTCACATCTACTGATAGTGAACTAAAGAGAGATTAGGTCTTGAAATATGTCACATAGGGGTTAAGAGAAAATTGAAAATGGACTGTAATGAATGGTCTTATTTATCCAACTGTGAACTAATATATATGCTGTAATTTGTCTCTCAGATCCAAGGTTCATTAGTGCCCACCTCATCCCAGAAAGTGACAACCCTGAAGATGACAAAGTGTATTTTTTCTTCCGTGAAAATGCGATAGATGGAGAACACACTGGAAAAGCCACTCACGCTAGAATAGGTCAGATATGCAAGGTGAGGTAAATATAAAAATGAGGAGGGTATCATTGTCCAATCACAGTTTTTTCCTCTTCCACCTTTGTACAAATATAATGAAAAATATGGCTAAAAAGCTTGACTGATCACTATAAATATTTAAATAGCAAAAAAAGATTGAAAACATATTATAGTTGCTTATGAATAACTTCATAGTCAAACATAGAGGTACAGGTTGTGAGGTGTTATTTCACAATTACATTAAATAATATTAGTTTGAAATTCTGGAGAAATAATTTTTTTTCATATTACCTGGAAAAATATAACTTTTGTATTCTCAGACCTAGCATAGGTTCCTACAATGTATAAGTTTTCAATGAATATTTTTTGTTGGAAATAACTCAAGTTTGAATATAAAAGAGACGTGTTAAAGCTTGTTCTTATGAATTGATTATAGCATCCTATGTACACATATGTGCACACACACATAATTTTGAAGCTCTGAACTTTCATATACTGTGTGGCACAAATTCAGATGTGATATGTATTATAACGTTAGATATATAGAATAAAAAATTGGTCAGTAAATACTTATGGATTAATTAGTATCAGTGTGAAAATATGATAACAATACTGTTCTTATCCTCTATACTGTATAGTACAGTATATGTGAAATATGAATGAAGCTGTTATTATATATTAAAGCACCTTTCATCTCAAAAAAAATCACAAGGCCAAATCCAGTTACTGTCTTAAAATGAAATTATTTCTTTTTAAAAAAAAAATCATGAAATTTTAAAAATCCCTGTCTTGGGGGCAGGGGTATCCTCTTTCCTATCCCAATCATCTAATTATTTATCTTTAGTATATTAAATTACTGGAAAATTAAAAGTTTTAGTGCTCTGGAAACATGCAAATGATATATGCAATATATGAGAATCGTTTCTCCACAAAATATAAGGTATATTTAAAAGCAGTACTTACAAGGGTTAAAAAAATCTTTATACTAAATAAAATCGTATAAACAAAATATAAATCAGTGTTATATTTTTGAAGAAAAAGTTATTTTCCTTCAAACATATGCACATAAATATTATTTTATAAGACTATAAGTTACTGGTGAATCCATACCATCATAATAGAATTTATTGCTACATCAGGTTACAGTTAAGTTTCATTTTCAGTGAGAAGATAGTTTTTCAAAATTTTTCTCTAGAATGAGTTTTCTTTATTAAGATTTAGGCAGATGTTTTTTCAACATGCTGTTTGAAAGTCAGCATTGCGTCAACTGAGCTTATAAAAATATTTGATGCTAGCATGCTTTTGGTTTGTAGTGTATTTTCAGTATGAGTTATAAGGCATGCAGTTATTCTTTCATTCAGTAAATACTCATTAAGTGCCTACTATGTGCCAATGTGCTTACCTCTGTGAAGCAGCCCACTTAGGTGAGTAAAATCTTAAGGAAAACTTACATAAGAAAGAGAGGCTAGAAGCAAACCAAAAGAAACACAAGAGTAATATCGTTCATTGCCAAGTGGTAACAGAATGGAAAAAGTACAGTGACTTTTTAATGCTAAGGCATATTTATTATAAGTCATTCCTTGAACAAGGTTGGAGTGATTAGATTTCACCAAAAATATAATAAGAAAGCATAGTTACTTGTATCTAGTCATTTAAAATTCATTTCTCAATTTGAAAAATGAGGAATTGTGATTTGTATCTGTCTCAAGATATGAGAAGATAAGATATTTGAAATTATCATTTGCATGCACAATTTCTAAAACCATTATTCTTTCCTTTCAGAATGACTTCGGGGGCCACAGAAGTCTGGTGAATAAATGGACAACATTCCTCAAAGCTCGTCTCATTTGTTCAGTGCCAGGTCCAAATGGCATTGACACTCATTTTGATGAATTGCGTAAGTAGCTGATGATGTCACATAGAGAATATTCAAACCTTGCCATTACCTTCAAAAATGCAACTTTCTCCAATTTTGTTTTAAAACAGAGGATGTATTCCTAATGAATTCTAAAGATCCTAAAAATCCAATTGTATATGGAGTGTTTACAACTTCCAGGTAAATAACACTTTGCTCTCTTATTATCATAGAAAATTCATGTCCTTTAGATGCTTTCCAAGTGTCCATAATTTGTGAAAATATTTTTGAAAGAACAGCGTCGGCTAAACCTTTGAGCTCTTGTGCATTCTTGGGTGCCTGAAATAAGTCATGACCTAAATCATTTTTTACATAAATTTTAGCAGAGAATTCACTACTATAAATTTAATGATGAAAAATGTATGTCATGCCCTATGTATAGCTTTGACTTTAAAAATTTGAGTGAAATGTAAAATATTATAAACATAGAACTCTGAGTTTTGTTAAAAGTTTGTAGTGATATAAACTAAGGGTGAAAAATCTTTTTCCCTCCCCTCTCCTCCCCGCTCTTCCTCTCTCACCCTCCCTCTCTCCTCCTTCTTCCCCCTCTCCCCCACTCCTCCTTTCGTCATTCCCCATATGCCTCAAAGCTCTTGCTGTCAATCAAACAGTAATTATTTCCTGACTATTACATGCAGCATAAAGTTTACATTACCTGGAATTGCTAAAAGAAACATATATTTAAATGCATATAAAGAGGGATATGCATTTGGATATGTATAAATGTTTAATAAAAGAAAAATAATTTAAAATCAAAAGTCAGGAAAAGTGCTACAAGGGACTGTGATAGCATAAAGAAAGATTAACTACAATGTCCAAACACTGATTTTTTTCTGTAAATATTAAAGCCATTACAAATTGATTGGACAATTTTGCTTAATTTTTTAAATAAATAACATGTAAAAATTAGGAAAACTATATTAGTAAAACCAGATGCAATTTCCCATACCTAAATATTTCTCCCCTTTGGTATAAAAACAGAATGACCACTAAAGAATGTGGGAGGCTTGGGCTTCCCTGGTGGCGCAGTGGTTGAGAGTCCGCCTGCCGATGCAGGGGGACACGATGCAGGGGACACAGGTTCGTGTCCCAGTCCGGGAAGATCCCACATGCCGCAGAGTGGCTGGGCCCGTGAGCCGTGGCCGCTGAGCCTGCGCGTCCGGAGCCTGTGCTCCACAACGGGAGAGGCCACGGCACTGAGAGGCCTGCGTACCGCACACACACACACACACACAAAACAAAAAAAGTGGGAGGCTCAAATTAAACAAATATTAATCCATTTCTTCTGCTTCCTCATTGCTTAGTACAGTAGTTTTCAGTCTTATGCTTGTGTCAGAATCGCCCAAAGAGCCTGTTAAAATACAGATGCTAGGCCCCGCCGTCAGAGTCTCTGATTCAGTAGGAAGGGGTAGGGCCTAAGAACGCGTTTCTAACAAATTCCCTGGTGATGCCTATGCTGTTGGTTTAGGAACCACACTTTGAGAATCACTGGCTTAGTGGGTAAAATAATTTCACCTGTCTGCTTCGGCGAGATTGATGTCATATATGAGTTAGTCTTAACAGCTGTAAATCCTAAAAAGATCTTTCCATGATGATGGATTCCATCAATAGATAAGCAAAGTGTATAACAATGAAAAAGGGACACATAAACATTACAAACTACTATGATGTATCAAATATGCATTAATTTGCTACTTATTCCATTATGAAAATATTGTTGTTAAATTCTGTAAGTATTTACTGAAATTTACTGTATGTCAAGTACCATGCGATATGTAATTTATGTTACAGAAAAGAAGCCAAGCATGGTTCCTTCCCTCATGAAGCTTGCACTCTACCAGACATTGTCTAGATGCAGCAGTTTTCAATAATAAACTCTTATTACACGTTTTTCATTTGGTCTAATTTTTATGTAATTTTCTGTGGGTAGAGATTGAATAAAAGGTATGCATTCCATATTTTTAATGTGCACAACTGTTTTATATCTTTGTATAAATAAATCCCTCAAGCTGTATTTATATAAGCAAAATAAAATGGGAAATTGTGGCAGCTCATGGTAAACTTCCAATTTGCTTCAATTACCTGACTTTTTTTGTCGAACAAAATGTTGAGGATAATTGCTATAATACTCCACTTTTGCTAGGGTGTAATAGCTAGTAACTTAAAATGATTTTCTGTGTTGGAGAGAGATGATTTTAAATGCCTTCACACAAATGGAGCTCTGTTACTTGATCAAATACTTTTGTTGGTTTGGGAGTTAAAAATTATAATATAACACATTGACTATTCATCTTCTGCACCAGTTTCAGTTTATAAAATGTGTTCTTAAACATTCTTTCTTGTCTAAACATTTCCTGGTTTCAGCAATGATGCTTAAGTCTTAACATAATGCCATAAGTTTATATTTTTATTTTATCTGATATCAGAATTAATCATTACCTTTTAGATTTTGTATATATGTTTTCCCTATCAATGTTTACATATGATATGAATGTATATTTTATATCGTACATTGTCTATTTATGAAATGAATATGTATATGTTCTATGAGTTCTAAAGATGTTTTCATCCATACCTTCGAATTTTGAGCAATCATAATTTTGCTTTCTTGTGTATTATTAAAATATATATAAACATGTGACTTAAAAAATCCCAAACACTATTTGAGAATTTATGTTCAAGTATTGATAATTGCTATCTGAAATTTAAAAACTCAGTATAAATAGCTCTGTCGTTGTGTAAAGATGAAAGTCTCTTTTTGTTCTGTCTGTCTTTTTTAGTAACATCTTCAAGGGGTCAGCCGTGTGCATGTATAGCATGAGTGATGTGAGAAGGGTGTTCCTGGGTCCATATGCTCACAGGGATGGTCCCAACTACCAGTGGGTGCCTTATCAAGGAAGAGTCCCCTACCCACGACCAGGAACTGTAAGTGGCTTAGGTGTTTAAGATAGGAAATGAATAAATTTATGCTGAAGGTTAAAAAAAAAGCAGCTACATACATATTAAATATAGATAATGTAAAAGAAAAATTCCAAGACTATAAATGAAAGAAAGGCAAGGATTTTTCTCTGATGACCATGAAATTCCACATTTAAAGACATGTTCTTCACAGGCATCAATGCTTAAGTTCAACACTTACCAGTGGTTAATACCAATAATTTATGAGAAATAGAAACTGAGCAGGTAGCCTTATTTATCTTCTTTTCTGAAAGAGATACAGTAAAAATGGCTTTCACGGAGAGTTGAAACAATTAGGATACACATAGACTTGCTCTCTCTGATTGTGGCAAAGCCTCAAGAATTGCACATTAAATAGGAGGAAACAAATTTAAATCAATATTATCTTCCTATGGAAGTGGGACACATCTCTCAAATAGGTAAAGAAGATATGCAATGAAGAAACAAACAGAAACCTCATGGAAAGGGCCTAGGTGTTTTAATAGATGCTATCTACTATCGCTGACCTCTCTCCTTCCAGCAGTGTTGTGCACATTCAGGCTTATAAAAAGGTGGACAGAGCTCAAAATAAAATCAGCTTTAAGTCTGCAATTTAAAGTAGGAAGAGGGCTTCCCTGGTGGCGCAGTGGTTGAGAGTCCGCCTGCCGATGCAGGGAACGCAGGTTCATTCCCCCGTCCAGGAAGATCCCACATGCCGCGGAGCAGCTGGGCCCGTGAGCCATGGCCGCTGAGCCTGCGCGTCCGGAGCCTGTGCCCCGCAACGGGAGAGGCCACAGCAGTGAGAGGCCGACGTAACACACACAAAAATAAATAAATAAATAAATAAATAAATAAAGTAGGGAGAAAAAAAGAAAAGACTGATACAGTAGAAAGTGAGTGAATATGACAGCAGATGTTCTAGAATATGTGGATGGAACCATCCAGTGCAACACTTACTAACCCTAAGAATTTTTTTTTAACATCTTTTTTGAAGTATAATTGCTTTACAATGGTGTGTTAGCATACAGCATTTGTTTTTCTCTTTCTGACTTACTTTACTCTGTGTGACAGACTCTACGTCTGTCCACCTCACTACAAATAACTCAATTTCTTTTTATGGCTGAGTAATATTCCATTGTATATATGTGCCACATCTTGTTTATCCATTCATCTGTCGATGGACACTTAGGTTGCTTCCATGTCCTGGCTATTGTAAATAGAGCTGCAATGAACATTGTGGTACATGACTCTTTTTGAATTATGGTTTTCTCAGAGTATATGCCCAGTAGTGGGATTGCTGGGCCCCATGGTAGTTCTATTTGTAGTTTTTTAAGGAACCTCCATACTGTTCTCCATAGTGGCTGTATCAATTTACATTCCCACCAGCAGTGCAGGAGGGTTCCCTTTTCTCCACACACTCTCCAGCATTTATTGTTTGTAGATTTTTTGATGATGGCCATTCTGACTGGTGTGAGGTGATACCTCATTGTAGTTTTGATTTGCATTTCTCTAATGCTTAATGATGTTGAGCATCCTTTCATGTGTTTGTTGGCAATCTGTATATCTTAGTTGGAGAAATGTCTATTTAGGTCTTCTGCCCATTTTTGGATTGGGTTGTTTTTTTTTTTGATATTGAGCTGCATGAGCTGCTTTTAAATTTTGGAGATTAACCCTTTGTCCATTGCTTCATTTGCAAATATTTTCTCCCATTCTGAGTGTTGTCTTTTTGTGTTGGTTATGGTTTCCTTTGCTGTACAAAAGCTTTTAAGTTTCATTAGGTCCCGTTTGTTTATTTTCGTTATTTCCATTTCTCTAGAAGGTGATAACCCTAAGAATCTTTAAGGAAATAATTTCATATGATGAAAAAACTTGTTCTTTAAGTTTAACCATTATTTTAATTTCATGTCAGTTTTTTTGTTAAATTCAAGTAAATGATGTTTTTAGATGAGTTTATTAGGCATAGGATGTTTTTAATCTTCTTTATTTTCTGTAAATTTTTTGCTAAACTTATTTATGAGCATTTCATAAAGATTACTTCTAGCTGATGGAGCTTGTAGGTAAAAAACCTAAATAGGCTTTCAGAAGGAAAAATGAACAAGGTAGACTATCCATTGATTATAAGAAGCCCGTTTTAACAGATTTATGCATACATACATATTTATATGTATGTGTGTGTGTGTGTGTGTGTGTGTGTGTGTGTGTATATAGATATATATATATATAGATATATATAATAGTATATACAGTAGCCCAATAATTGTTCCCATTTCACAGATGAAGACTCTGAGGCAAAGAGAGGAGCCAAGATTGATTCCAGGCAGTTTGATTCTAGAGCCTGAATTCTCACCCACTGTTCATAGAGAGTTGTTATGACATGGTCCATTAAGTCAGCAGTGTGAACCAAGTGCTGGAGGCAGAAGACAGAAAGCACTGCCTAAGCTAGGAATTAGGGAGGGGCTGCCAAGAGGAGGCAACACCTTGCTCCATGAATAAAATTCCCTTAGATCAATCCATTAATCCCAAAAGGGGGCAGCTGAGAATATGTCATTCCATAACACTACTGGAGAAAAACATATTAAGAGGCCTTCAAGCAGTGTGTCAATAGAAGGGCATTTTCTTTATTTTTAAAGAAAAACCTACAGCTTAAGTAATACTAAATACAAAAATAAAAGTAAGGCAAGAAAGTGAGACAAATAGATAAAAATCTAAAATAAGTCTTTATTTTCAATCATTTCTAAATTTTTTCAAGTAGTTTTTAAATGGTAGAAAAGCAAATAAATTAATGTTACAAAATATGTCTTATCATTTCTTCTAGGAGTTTATACAGCTATTTGATATTTCTATAACATTAAATAATTTTTTAATTTACTTAAATAAAAAGTAATTCCCTAAATCCCTTAACTGTTATATTAGTGTATTATTGTGTGTATATCTGTATACTACATACATATATATTCATAAAGAGATACTCGTCCCATTTCAAAATAGCTTTATTTCATTTCTCATGAATTATTAATGATCTGTGTTAAGGTAATGGCAGAGACAGTTGATTTCTCCTTCTAAGCCTCTTGTTAGATCAAGAACCACTCAACTACATTTCAGCTCTCAAACTCTTACATTAAATGGCAGAAATTAGTTCAGTGTAAGACAAAAAGTAAGAGAGTGGAGATACTGTACTCTGAATGCTTGCACCACATAATTAAATGCAGTGAAAAGAGACAATACAATCTGAATTTTCTTGTTTTTGTTTTATTGCCTTAAGTGGAGCATTTAAATCCAGAGGTGATATTATGACAGTGTACAGCACAGCATCCTGTCTGGCTCTCCCTATGGCCATCATCTGTTCTGCTTGGTCCATTCTGATTGGTCAGTTTCTGTGCCATGCAAGTTTTTAAACACCTTGAATAACACATCTCCTTATCCCTAGAATTACTGTAATTATTAAAGAAATAATACTTTTAGTCCTTTTTATGGTACTTTTTCAGGGTTATGTTAAAAATAAAGCAATAAAGAATAGTTTATATTGTCTTTTAGTTTGAAGAGAGCATTTATATTTTAGCATAATACCATAGGGAAAAATGAAATGCATTCAAGAAAATTTTTGATTTTCTCTAATCTAATGATTAATAGCATTTAGTTATAACATATTCCACTCATTATTTCAAATACTTCATTTAAACATAAAGTATATGGTGTTGTCACTAATAGAGGCATCAGACTTCTCCTGTACACTGAATTCATTAGATGCATTTGCAGTTTTTGGTAAGAAATGATGACATCCCATCGAGACTTAAAATATGTTTAGAAAATGTATATTATATATTGCATCTACTAATTTAAGTAAAATTATTATTTTTTTAGTTTAACAGTTACTTTAAAAATTACAGATTTAGATTCCTGGTTCATTGAGGCCATATATTATATAAATTATAATCCTATTCATTATATTTTAATCAAAAGATAATATTTTCTTTATCTTAATAGTGTCCCAGTAAAACATTTGGTGGATTTGAGTCTACAAAAGACCTTCCTGATGATGTTATAACATTTGCCAGAAGTCATCCAGCCATGTACAATCCAGTGTTTCCTATTAATAACCGGCCGATAATGATCAAAACAGATGTAAATTACCAGTTTACACAAATTGTAGTAGATCGAGTGGATGCAGAAGATGGCCAGTATGATGTCATGTTTATTGGAACAGGTAAATGTTTTAACTTCAGCTCTAAATGTTCTTCCAGAACATTGCATCTAACTAATTAAGTATACTAAGAACTAAAGGAAGACTTTTTAGTCACTCTCAAGATATAGTTAACCTCTAATAAATGACTAAAAAACCTGAACATTCTCCCATTCCAATGTGTTATTTTTTCAGGCAAGTTGACATATATTTATTAATTTAAATTAAATTTCCTTTTCAGTCAAAAGTTGATAAATGTAATCAGGTAAAGCTATTGATCAGGTGAACAATCAGTGTCTATAATTGAATCATAACTCTTTTCTGAACAGTGGCTTTTCAGGACAAAAATGTATTGCTCAAATCCCAAGACAGTCAATAAAAGTTCTAGATATATTGATGCAAAATCATCTGAACTTTAAAATTATCATAGAGTGCAAATCTTCCAGAAAATAAATTTTGGCAACAAAATTTGTTTAGTGTTTTTACCATACAATGAGAAGGAAAACAAAGCAAAATAAAACTTCATCAGAAAACCAACAGAGTGGACCTAAGGAATCGTCAGATACATTTTAGATCCATTTCTATAGACATTTAATGACGTATTTTTACGAATTCCATGATTAGAAACAAACATTTTATAGGTTTATTTTCAGGATGAATTCTATTGCTATTATGACATATTATTTCATTTTTACCCTACTCTCTTTAATAATACTATTTTAAAAGCACCAGTTACAAATCTGAAACTTGCTACTTAGGGTCAGATTCCAAGGTAATAAATTCCTAGTCTCCATTAATGTTGTTAACTGAAATAAATCAATAGGAAACAGAGTGAGTGCTCCACTGAAACCTGTATAATAACATTTATTTTCCCTTGGTGAGAACAGAGAAAGAAATTGCATTAAGTACAGTAAGGGGAATGGCAGCTGCACAGTAAGTGCTTTAAAGACTTAAAGTTTTATAACAAAATTGTGAAATACTTAAGTTATCAAGTGTAAGTGTCAGGTTCTGAGCAATACATTACAGTCTGCTTTTATGAGTGAGAAAGTTTCTCTATCAAATAAAAGAATCCCAGGGAGACCTGGAGTTCAATAAAAGTCAATGAATTGCAAGTATCAACTTCTGGTTATAAATATCTTGAGAAATTATAAGATGATAGGATTTCTCTTCAATAAATATTAGTTTATCACTAATGTCAAATTATAATTAGATCTCTCTACAGAGTAATTAAACTTGTTCAGTAATGTCACACTTACCTTTTTCTTCACCTCCGGCCTAAACATGTTAAGTCCCCCACTCATTGTCAGTGCAACAAAAGCTTGCTTCCGGCTATTTGACCAAAGAAACCTAATCATGAATTTTCAGTTCTTCTTGGACGCAAGCCGTCTTTAAAGGAACCAATTTCATGAGCACTGTTGAATGTCTGATGATGTGGATGGCTATGGGTCAGCACAGAACAGGGTCATCTGTCAACAAAGTAAATTGATTACAGTAATTTTATCTTTTAAGTAAGTTACACATTGATCCTAGTTGAGTAATCTGATTCAATTTGTGTGGAATTGTTTGAAATACTACTCAGTAAAACTTGATCTGGAACACAGATAAAGTTATTTTGGGGTATTAGAGACTGATCAGAGGCACTGAGTATATTAACCTAATTTACCTTTAATCTTTGGTGTTATGAGTAGTCTAAGGTCCTGTAAACAGAAGGATCTGCTTAAAAGAGGGATTTTTTTTTTTTTTTTTTTTTTCCACTTTACAAGGGATACACTAGCAACCTTTCTTGGTCTCATATAGCACATCGTATTGATCCCTGAAAATGGTTATCTGTCGTATGAATACATAGAATTATTTTTGTGGTGTAACTTTACTGGTAAGATTTTCTTCTCGAATAATTAGATTGTTGAATTTGATTAAAATGAGCCAATTGAAGATAAAAATAATTGATCAACTGATCAGAAATGGTATGTTGAAGAGTCAAATTTTTGAATTTAATAAATCCCTGTTCTTTATTCTATCAAGAATAGGAACCCATCTGTAAATACTGGAAAATAGTAGCTTCTTAACCCAACTTAGAGTAAAAGTGCCAGCTCTTATCATTAAAACAATTTGTCTCTTTTAACAATGAATCAACAGTGCTTTAAATCTCTATAAAATGTATTTATTTTAACAGTTTTCATTATTTATGGTTCTGAATTTAAAAATTTTTTAGTACTCTGAAGTTGATTGAACAGCATGTTAATTAAACCAATTTGCTAACCAAAATTGATTAGCCAGTTGTTGAAAAACCACTGTAATAAGTAATCCAGGGTGTTTACTTTGAGAAATCAGATTATTGTCATTTATCAGGTAATGGTCATTGAGCTGTTGTTAGGGGCCTCTAACTACTAAAGTCTTCCTCGTGGGAAGAAGATGAGCAGCCAGGCTCTGAGGCTCTAACTACTTTTGTTGCTTGACAACATTCCTTCCATTTTGCTTATAGATTAAGTATTCATAGTAGTTCCTGGTTGCATAACAAAAATGGGAAAAACCTGTAATGTCAAGCTGGTAATTTTTTTCTTTTTTTTCTTTTCTTATAGAATGAAAGATTCTTTAAATTCTATAGTGCTTTACAATTTTCAAAAGTTTCACACAGATGATTTCATATAACCCCATAATAACCCTTTTCCCCCCCCACCCCTATATTGCCCCTCCCCCTTCTGCCTCCCCACTGGTAACCACTCATTTTGTTCTCTGTATCTGTGAGTCAGCTTCTTTTTTTGTTATAGTCACTAATTTGTTGACTTTTTAGATTCCATGTATAACAGATATCGTACAGTGTTTGTATTTCTGTCTGACTTATTTTACTTAATATAATGCCCTCCAAGTCCACCCAAGTTGCTATAAATGGCAACGTTTTTTTTTATGGCTGAGTAGTAGTCCATTGTATATACATATACCACATCTTCTTTATCTGTTCATCTGTTGATAGCAATTGTAAATAGTGCTGCTAGGAACATTGGAGTACATGTATCTTTTTGAATTAGTGTTTTGGGTTTGTTTTGTTTTGTTGGGTTTTTTTGGCTATATACCCTGGAGTGAAATTCCTGGGTCATATGCTAGTTCTATTTTTAGTTTTTTTGAGAAACCTCAACACTGTTAAACTGGTATTATTTTTAGTTTAGTTTTGTTTTGTTTTTGAGACACCTGATAGTTGAGATTAAAAATACAAATAATCCAACCTAGTGACTATTATATATATATATATTTTTTTAATTACACAGGTTTAGGATAAAATCATCTCCAAAGCATCAGATATTTCTAAAAATTCAACTATTTTTATTCCATAGCTATGTTTATACTTTATCTAGTTTCATGAAATATTACTAATGCTGTAACAATAAAATAAATTTTAAAATGCTGACGTCAAAATGTTCTTTCTGGTCAAATACTGATTTCATTCATTAACACTAAACTCTGTTCAGATCTATTTAAATTGTGGTCTTCTCCACTTTCTTTCAAAGATGTTGGAACCGTTCTTAAAGTAGTTTCAATTCCTAAGGAGACTTGGCATGATTTAGAAGAAGTTCTGCTGGAAGAAATGACAGTTTTTCGGGTGAGTGCTGCTTAATTTCAAGTGTCAACAAGTTCCCCTGTATGTCTTTTCCCCAGGACAGCTGCACAGTGAACTTGGTATGGACAAGCAGTCTAGCATACCCTTCTAATTAGCTTGTCAATTAGAAAGCCAGACACTAGTCAAAATAAACCTTGAAACTTTCAATGCTAGTTAAATCAAAAAGTGTAAAGAAATATATCCTTGGCTCATATTTCGTTTTCTCAATGATAAATTATATGATTTACATTTTATATTATTTATGTAAGTTACCTCAATGAACAAACCCTGTGTGCCTCCTACCCTCCAAATCCCCTCTTTCACACTCAGTGGTATAACTGGGATGATAGGTAACTTCCATGAATGTATTAAAGGAAATATATTCAGAATGATAACAGAATGAAGACATTTCAATAATTTTTTAGCTTATTTGTGAATTGTTCTATCATATTTTCCTAAAGAAATCACTTGTTAGCAAAAAAAAGTTTCTGAGGTTTTTATATCACTTGTGGAAAATCTGTTATGAATTCCTAGTCTACACAATTAAGAAGAGTACAGATAGTTGTCCTTTTGTCCTGAATCACTGATGGCCCAAGTAGGTTTATATAGGATTGGGGGTAGAGGCAGCAGTATATGGATTGAAGTGAGGGAGGAAAACTGAAGTAATGTAGCATACACCACATTTCTTTTAGAAAGCCAGCTAGGAGGAAGAGTTTGAATTGAAGCACACCTTGATATAAATCATTTATGAAATATGACAGAGAAATAGATGCCTATCAAAGGTGTTATTTCAGTTTTTGATAAAAAAAAGAAGGCAAAAATCTGAGACATTTATAACTGCAAAATAAACTAGAATTAGAAGAATTTCATGGATAGAAAATGAGAAAATATTGGATCTAGTCTCACAACTTAACATTATCTCATTTAGTCTCCAGAAATCTCACTTTATCTATAAAATGAAGTGGATGGATTAAAGTTTTCAGTTGATTAAATATTTTGATTGTAAGGAAAGTCTTCCCAAGACTTCTTTTAGCCCCATACTTCTAGACCAGTTTATTAACACAATAGAGCTCTAGCTCACTCTTCACTAATACTTTGAAGAGAAAATAAAGTAAAATATGGCAAGCTTTTAGTATATATATTGATTCAAATAAAGTCATGATTAGCTTTGAAACAGATAACTGGTACATCATGACACAGACATCTTGTAATAACTAAACAGTGTTCTAATGGGAAGGGCTTAGGTTCTTCAGTCATAGCTAGCTACATGGCAGTTCTGTTTGGAACCCATACAGTCCCTCTTAGCTTCCCTAGCAGGAAAAATAATACCTACCTCACAAGGAAGCTAGAAGAATTAGAGACACTATATGTAGAACATCCAGGACAGTGCCAGCTCCTGTGCTCAGAATCTTACTGTTGATATAATTTTACTTGTTTTAGTTTGTCTACACTGAATATAAGCCACATTCTCAGTAGCCTTCTCTACTAATCCTTGGTTTAAGTCTTAGAATAACACAATCATCGTAATTCTAGTATGATTTTTAAAATCAGGCACTTGGACCTTACTTTGTCTGGTATAGAATGATGACTAATCCCTATCTTTCACCAAGTCCCATTTCATTATTTACGCATTGATACTTTATCCTACAAATTCAAAAATACAATTATGCAAATAGACTGTGTCAGTAATACAGAGCCCATCTAGATTTAGCAAACAAATTATGGGCACTGAGGGGCAGATACATATATTGCTGTCTTGTGTCCATTGTTGTGTCTCCAGAGCCTGAAGTGTGTTTTCAACCTACATTTATTAAATGAATAAAGGAATCAGTATTTATGCAAAAATGAAAAATGAGAAATTAAAGAGTTTAAGGTCTTCTTAGGAAGACCCCACTTAAAGTGAGGTGCCAGAGTATGAGGAAGATAAACCGAGAACAGCAAAAAGTTATCCTGCTGATTATATCCCGTATTATTCTAGTAGAAAAAAATTTTTACCAATTCTGTATTTTTGGAAACCTATATTACCACCACTGTAGCAAATGAAGTTGCAGGAGTACTAAAATATTGTTAACTTTAGAATTTCTTAACTATTTCCAGAATCTTTTACTTTTGAATTTGTCATGTTTCCTTTGCATATTCCCCTTCAGTTATAGTACATGATTATAACAAGTTCCATTTACTAATTCAACTGTAAACAAACATGTCTACCATGGTCCTGGCACAATGCTAAGTTCTGGTAATTCTGGTGAAGTTCTGAACACTATAAACATGGTCCCTGACCTTATGTAGCTTAGAGACTCTTCCAAGTACTTAATTTATTATCTTTTAGTACAATTAAGTTTTATCTTGTAGAATTGTACGATTATGTCATGCCATTTTAAAAAATAAGGTTCTTTTTATCTATTATTTAATTATTTTCCAGGATTTTATGAATCAGAATATGTATAATTTTGCAGTAATACTGTGTTCTAGCTAATTTTCATTCCCTACATCTCTGGGATTTTAAGTTTACGTTTCACATCTTATCTATGTTTTTTAATAGTAAATCAAATTTTAGTTTAAAAATATTACTTTAAGCTGACCTATTAAATGACTTTTAACAAAATCTTGAGAGGTTGGAAGCCAACCCAAATATTTAATGTCTATTAGATTTTGTTAGTGTTTTGCAGTTTCCAGAGACATACACAGCCGAATTACACCTATGAAAACTATTGGATGACCTTTTTGTGGTTTTTTAAGTTGTCATGAGAGAGGTTCTTTATTCAGTTTTTAACAATTAGGTATAAATATGTAATATTGTGCTTTCATGGAAATGATTGTTTATGAGTTTATAATTTTGTTAAAAGATTGTTTGCAGCGTGGGACACATCTTCCAGAGATAAATGTTCCATTTTTCTTCCATATTCTGTTTTATGCATTGTTGTCATTATTATTTCTTTGGCACCCAAGTAGACAAAACGTATTTGGGCAGAGTTTAGAGAAATATTTTCTTTCAACATTCTATTCTATCAGGCAAAGTTCATACATATATTGTGGTCTAGCAATTGGAATATTTCACTGTCAAACTTTGTTTAATTTTGCAGAAGGAGGGCAAAAAACACATTAAAGCAATTTCTGTATACACTGAAACAAGCAGAGAAATGTTACAGTTTCTGTATTTTTATTTGAGCCTTTCAAGTCATTCCATTTAACATAAAATAAAATTTAAAAGGGTTAATTTGAGCACTGTGGTAGTTTGACAAGTTAAATAGACAAGGAACAGATTTAGGGTCCTGGTGGTATCTGATACTCTTGGATTTTAAAAAGAAAGACATTTAATGTCAACCAACCAGTTAATTTTACCATAATATCATCTCCAGGAGACCATGTTCATTATGTGTCTTTGCTAGACTGAATAACCAAACCTCATATAAAATCCAGAATTAAAGCCAGTACTATGTCCATTGCCATCTTGAGGTTGGTTTTAGGAAAATACCCTGGCTAATCACAGAACATTCCAGTGGTTCCAGTTACATCTAAGATACTTTTTTTCTGGGTGAAATCAAATCCCAATAAGAGTATAGAAAGAAAAATATTCCTCAGTAATAAAACTTCCATTTTAGAGTAAAATTTTTGTAGGTAACAAGATGTGAGATAAAATTGGCCTTGGTATAGGACTCTAGAAATGACTTTAAATAGCCATTATGTATTCAAAATGGTATCAAAGTACTAAGACACAAACCTGATTCCAAATACTACTTGTAACCATAAATTGGTGTTTGAATCTCATTTACTATGTGATTCCAAACAAGTTGGTTAAAGTCAGTTGAGCCTCCACTTCTTCATTTCATAATTTTTTTTTTTTAATGAAGATTACTGGTAAATTGTAGCTATTGTTAACTAGTTATACAAATGAAAATCTCATTTAAAATAAATGCTTGAAAATTCTGCACCTATACCTTGTTAAAAAAATATTCAAAAGGTATGAAAACCAGATGTATGCTGATTTTTACTTTACTCACATTGAGACTTTTTTCTTTCCAGTCCAAAGAGGGTTTTACTTTTGAGACAGTGGGGTGTTCAAGTCGCAATGCATTTAGTACAGTGGGTTTTATTTATAGTCCTATTGACTGCAAAGGATTGCAAGGCAGTTACATTGATAACGCATGCATTTTAAACCCAATTTATGCAATATTCCATGAACAGCTGAGCAAATAAATGAAAGAGTTTAATTTTCATTCAGATGTAAATCATAATTGATGCTTTCCAAAACCTAGTCTATTAACTCATTCTAAAGGAGCATCAGCATGCGTGGCATCCAGGGAGCTCTGTCAGATTCTCCTGGGATCAGCAGGTTGAAAAGCTCTGCAAGTGTGCAAGTTTAATAAGTACTAGATTAAAATATCTGAAAAAAATATATAGCAAATTAGAGTCATAGAAAATCTTGAAAAGATGCTAAGTTTTTAATTTCATTTTTACTTGAACTCCAATTAAATTTGCACTTGAAACCAGTTTCATGAAAATGCTTATGAAGCTACATCTGTTTTAAATGAAAGTTATATTCATCACCAACTAGGGCTCAGAAAAAAATATAGCTTATTTAAATGGATGTCATCTTAATATATTGTCTATTAAAATTCAACCGCAGGCAGCATATAGCACATCCTATTCCAAGCAGTTATTACTTTCCTGGTCTAAAAAATAAGTAAGTTTCTTTTAATTAAGAGATTCTAGAATCTTAATTAAAGAAAATTAAAATTATAATATGGCACAATGGAGTTTCTTGTGTATTGGGGTTTGTTTTGTTTTACAATTTATGTATGAAGTGATCATTTCCACCTACCTTACAGACATATAATTTTTTGTATTGTCAATGAATGTGAAATGTCTGAAAATTCACCAGCTTCACTTTTATATAGTTTCACTGAAGTTTTTAAAAGAACTGAGACATAGCTAACTTTCATTTTAATTATACTAGCTGTTGATTCTCTAAGAAGTACTTTCCTTGTAACTTGGCTATAAAA